AGACAAACAACAACAAATGTTGGCGAGGTTGTGGAGAAAGGGGAACCCTCCTACACTGCTGGTGGGAATGTAAACTAGTTCAACCATTGTGGAAAGCAGTATGGAGGTTCCTCAGAATGCTCAAAATAGAAATACCATTTGACCCAGGAATTCCACTTCTAGGAATTTACCATAAGAATGCAGCACTCCAGTTTGAAAAAGACAGATGCACCCCTATGTTTATCGCAGGACTATTTACAATAGCCAAGAAATGGAAGCAACCTAAGTGTCCATCAGTAGATGAATGGATAAAGAAGATGTGGTACATATACACAATGGAATATTACTCAGCCATAAGAAAAAAACAGATCCTACCATTGGCAACAACATGGATGGAGCTAGAGGGTATTATGCTCAGTGAAATAAGCCAAGCGGAGAAGGACAAGTACCAAATGATTTCACTTATATGTGGAGTATAAGAACAAAGGAACACTGAAGGAACAAAACAGCAGCAGAATCAGAGAACCCAAGAATGGACTAACAGTTACCAAAGGGAAAGGGACTGGGGACGATGGGTGGGAAGGGAGGGATAAGGGTGGGGAAAAGAAAGAGTGCATTACAATTAGCATGTATAGTGCGTGGGGGGCACGCGGAGGGCTGTGCAACACAGAGAAGACAAGTAGTGATTTTACAGCATCTTACTACGCAGATGGACAGTGACTGTGAAGGGGTATGTGGGGGCGACTTGGTGAAGGGGGAAACCTAGTAAACATAATGTTCTTCCTGTAATCGTAGATTAATGATACCAAAATTTAAAAAAAAGAGAAGTTCAGGCATTTGCCACAAACATTTTTCAACAAAAAAAGAAAAAAGAAAAAAAATTAAACTCCTAGGAGAGGCTTAAAGATGGTGGCATGAGAGGTGAGACAGAAACCTCCTCCCAAAATGACATATAATTTGAGAATATAGCAAACACATCTAATACTGAAAGAGCATCAGGAAAGAAGGCTGTGGCAGACTACATACACCTGGAGGAAACATCAGACCTCAAGGAAAAAGGTGAAGTGCAAAAGCCATGATCCAGAGGGACCCAAGCCCTTTCCCAAACCCAGCTCACAGGAGAAAGACAGAGAAACAGAGTGGGGAGGGGTGGAGACCTAGGGCTGCTGAACACCCAGCCCTGGATCTGCTCTGGGAGCACAAACCTACATTACACGGTGCTCTGAAGATTAGTGGGGTTGGAAAGCTAAGACAGGCAGAATACATGGAGACACTAAGATTCCAGCCACTTGTGGAAAATATGTATCCACAACTGGCAGAAAGATGGGCAGTCTGAGAGACTTCCTAACAGCAAGAAGGCTGATAAAGGGGAAAGGATTACACAGAGCTTACTGCTCAGGAGGAAGGACAGGTGGACAAAATTGTCCAGATGCACTCTGCCCAGCAGGTTGGGAACTTTCAGGAGTTCCAGGCATTCCATCCCTCTGGCTGGCTATGCAACTACGAGGCCCCCCACTGTGACACACAGCCTGCTGCACCTTTCTCCAGGCCAGAACCAGCACACTGAATGGCCACCCCTGACATTACACAAGGCTAGCTCCAGGGCAGCCCTGCCTATGGCAGCTACAAGTGCAAAGCACAGAGGCTTCTCCCTGCCTGTTCGGCCCACTGGCCTTTGCAGTGGAGGCAGGCACTGCAGCCAGGAAGCAGGAAAGAGCTTTTTCCTCCTGACAGGCACCAGCACTGCTTGCCTGTGACCCCCACCATTGCTCCAGGTGCTGAGCAGCTCCAGACAGTAGAGCTTCTGGGCACTACAGGGTACCACCGACAAATAT